TGTTTGATGAGTACAGAGTTTCTGTTTAGGAAAATGAAAAACGTCCGGAGATGGATAGTGGTCATGGTTGCACAACAATGTGAATGTATTTAACGTGACTGAATTGTTAAAATGGTAAATTTTATATTATGTATATTTTACCACAATAAGGCGTATGTTTAAAAGGCATAGGCTAAGGATCCAGGGATAGAAGAGCGGGCAGTCTAGGCAGAGGTGATGATAGCAAGTGCAAAGGCCCAGAGGTGGGAATGTGCCTGGTGTTCTCTCATCAATAGCAAGGTTAACGGTTGGGGCATAATAAAGAGAGTAAAGGGTGAGGGCTATTCATATATAGCCTTGTAGGACCTTGTAGTTCTTCATAGAAATCTAGTGGGAGGTGGGAAGCCACTGAAGAGATTTGAGCAGAGGGGTGATACTATCTGACCTTTGTTAAACAGGATCATTCTGGTTTCTGCTTTCTGCTTTCTTCATTCTGAGTCTCATTTGCAAATGATAATAAGAATTTATCTCACAGGGGAACTGTGAAAATTAAGAGAGGTTATGCATGCCAAGGGTTTAGCGTGGTGCCTGACATAGCATTCAATAAAAGGTAAGCATTACTGTGACAGAAATCCAAAGAAAGAGAGCTTTCTGAGGAGTTCTGGAGGACTTCATGGAAGAGATGGCAGTTCAACTAGACATGGAAAGATGTACAAGATATCTAACAACACATATGGGGAAGAGGAGGGCTTTCTGGGTGGAAGGAACTAAGGGGTCAGGGCAAAGAAGAGGAAAGAATGCTTGATTAGCCCTAGCAGGTCACAGTGAGGAGTGTGGACTCTAGAGCCTAGGTGATGGGAGCTGTGAAGGTTCTGTAGCTGATGTCAAGATCTATGAGTTGGGATTTCAGAAAATGGAATCCCCATCCCCCAGCCTGGAGCCGGAAGATCTGGGAAGCAGGAGTCATCAGGACACTGGCCCAAGGGTGTGGGCTGTTAAGCAGAGGCTGGGCTGGAGATGGAGAGAATCAAGAGGACACACTGGGGATGGAAAAAAGGAAGGCGACCAAGAGGGGCGTGTTCCCTGCGTGTTACTGAAGAGCGCTGAGGAGCCACAGGCATCACCACCCAGCTCCGCGGCCCTCCGCAGCGCCCACTGGGCCAGACTTCAGAGCCCTCACCGCGGTTACAGACACACTCCGCCGCCTAATTATGTATTTTAATGTTTCAGCTTCCAGACGGCAGGGCTCGGGTGTCTGTTTTCATCTCATCCCTGTGCCTGGCACAGTGTCTGGGACACAGGAGGCGCTCGCTAGCGATTTGCTGAAGAGCTCACCGGAGGTTTCAGGAAAGGGCTCCGTGAGCTGACCGCCTAGAAGGACACGTGGGGCTGGAGGGCATTCCGACTCCTAGAAGGCTGGGCTGGTGTGAGACAAGGTCCTGCAGAGAGGCTTCGGTCGCCTCCCCGCCAGTTTGCAGGGACAACAGATGGGTGGCAGGCGGACACAGCACCCCAGTTTACATAAGGCGCTCACACTAACGCCGGGAACTCCGGCAGGAAGACCTCGGGGGCCCGCGGGCAGAACAGTGCGCGTGGAGCGTGGCTGCGGCCCCATTTCACAGGTGTGGCCCGGGAACGCGGAGTCCCCGGAGTCCCAGTAAGTCCGCAGGTTCTCGGAGCCGAGCC